AATAAGAAAGAAATAAGTAGTTGTGAAGACAAAAATGTTCTTCCTACTTTCACTCTCGATGCAGGAAATTTGAAATGGAGCAATGGGTTTTGGCTTTCACCTGAAATAATACTAGCTTATAACCGGCCCGTTGGCCGGAATGTTCATATTTTAATATTATATTTATGTTCATATTATAATATTTATATTCTTATGTTATGTTTAAGTCTATTAATTCGTTTAAGTTTATTGAAAATCATTCAATCGAGATGCTACATTTTTTTTTTGCATAGCAGGAGGCAAAAGCCAAGAAGAGAGAACTTACATGGAGGTTTGAGGAGAGAAAGAGTTACATTGGCGGGACACAATCCGCCTCTCAAAAGAAACTCCCTGAATATCATCCTGAAGAATGGACGCTACCCCTGATGGCGGGTGTGCGAGCTCCTGTACACCGTAGGGATAGACGAGACTGTGCTTCGAGAGCCAGTCCGCGACTCTATTCCCTTCCCGGTATACATGAACAACGCGCACCAGCCAGTCACGGCTAAGCCTCCTGCGAATGGCAGCAAGTAAGGTGGCATAAGGGTGGACAGGATCATGCCTGCCTTCAATTAGCTGAATGGCCAATTGCGAGTCTGATTCAACCACGAGCTGGTGGTACCCAAATTTCCAAGCTATATCCAAGCCATGATGAAAAGCCCACAGTTCTGCCAAGACTGAAGAGGCTTCTCCTATCATGGCAACAAAGCCGCCGAGCCAAAGCCCAACCCCATCTCTCAAAACACCTCCAGCCCCAGCAAGACTCGGGTTCCCATTAGACACACCATCAATGTTAAGCTTCACCCACCCCTCAAGAGGCGGGCTCTAGGCAATATTAGCCAAGACCCGGGCCGCCGCGGCTCTCCTTCCATTCGGCAACAAAGAGGGTGCTCGCCGAGCCTCACTCCAAAGCTTGGATTTAGCTACAATCGAGTGTGTCAAGGAAGGAGGGATGAGGGTGGAAGAAATACCTTTAAAGCACATGTCATTTTTGTTCTTCCACAACAGCCACACCGCAGTGCTGAAAAAATCAGGCCACTATATCCCCACATGCTCAATCTCGCCCGCAGCCAGGTTCCCCCGCAACCAGTCCGCAGTGTTGGCCGAGAACAAAACCTGTTGTCTTTCACTTGGCACTTGTCCCACCCAGAAGTATGTCACCGGGGGACAGTCCCGAAGAATGTGAAGAATGGTTTCAGCCTGGCCACTACATCTCCCACAGTCCGTCGAATCAGAGATCTTCCTATAGTGTCGAAGGGCATTAGTCGCAATTCTTCCAAGACTCACAAGCCATACGAAGCAGCAAACTCTCTCCGGGACAGGAAGGCTCCAAATAATCTTCCAAAACTTGGCATCCGGATCATTCCCTTGTGGAAGAAGGGACTGGTAGGCAGTCTTCATAGTGAACTGGTCGTTCGACGACAAGGCCCAGAAGAGGGTGTCCTCCTCGTTGGAGAGCTTATCCACCGCCACGCTGGTGATGTTCATCTGAATCTCCGGCGGGAGAAGACCTTCAAACAGCTCTGTGCGCCATCCTCCATCATCTGAGGTCAAGTCCGCCACCACTTTGTCCCTTCGCGAATTGAGGATCTCCGCTTTCGCTAGGTTCAAGAGAGGTTCCTGCACAATCCAAGGGTCATGCCAAAATTAAGTAGCTTTCCCGTTCTTGATATTCCACGCACAACCTCCCTTTAGGAGGGGAGAAGCCTTGTTAAAGCTTCTCCAAGTAAAGGAACTTCCCTGAATAGAACGGAAAAGATCCAGGTTCTCTTTGTTCCAGCCATACTTATCTCTGACCACCTGGGTCCATAGAGCATCCTTCTCTTCGAGGAGTCTCCACCCACTCTTGGCGAGCATTGCCAGGTTGGCATTTCTCACCGAACGAAGACCAGCTCCCCCTTGGTCCTTTGGCAGGATCATCTTTTCCCACCCAACTAAATGGAGCTTGGATTTCCCGTCCTCCTCACCCCATTCAAAGTCCCTGTTACTACGATCAATAGAAGCACAAACTCCTTTAGGCAGTAACTCTGTATGCATATAAGTGGGAATAGAGGAAATGATAGACCTGGATACGGTGAGACGAGCAGCCAAAGACAACTGTTTCGCTTTCCACGGAGCTAACTTCTTTTGTATGTGCAGAAGAAGGCTCTGGTATCTCCCTCCCGTCACCCAGTCGTGAATGCCGTGTATGCCAAGGTATCTCCCAAGCTCATTCTTCAGGGGGATCTCCGCTCTGGCGCTCAAAGCACTGGCCTTTGAACTACCCACATTCGGGGACACAAACATCAAGGACTTGGCGTAGTTGACCCGCTGCCCGGAGCTGGAGCAAAAATCGTCAAGACACTGTTTGATGATTCTGATCTGTCTCGTCTCTGCTTCGGCGAAAAGCAAGAGGTCATCTGCAAAGAAAAGATGTGTGAGAGGCGGTCCATTCCTAGTGAGCCTAATGGGCTTCCATTGCCCACTGTGAAGGGCCGCGTCTATCCTGTGAGATAAACGTTCCATGCATAAGACAAAGAGATAAGGCGAAAGAGGGTATCCCTGTCGAACTCCACGAGTGGGAGTGATGGTTGAGGAGAGGTTACCATTCCAAAGAACCCGCATATTATTCTGCTCCACGCAATACATGATACAGCTGATCCAAGTGTTGGGGAGACCCACTTCCTTCAGGGTATCACGAAGGAAATCCCACCGCAGCATGTCATAGGCTTTCTCAAGGTCAATCTTAAGAATCATGCCTCCTTTCTTCCCTTTACGCTTCCCCAGAGAGTGGAGCACTTCCTGCACAACGATGACATTATCCGTGGTCTGGCGGTTAGGAATGAAACTGCTCTGCCGAGGGGAGATGAGCTTCCTTATGACCGGCTTCAACCTACTAGTGATCGCTTTGGTAATAGCCTTAAGGCTCACATTGTTGAGCGATATAGGTCAAAGTTGGGTCACATACTCGGGGTGATCGACTTTTGGATGAGCACCACTGTAGACTCTAAGACCTTGTCAGGCAAAAAAATGGTGTTGAAGAAGACCAGAGCCATATCTGTTAAGTACTTCCCCACCACATTCCAGGCTTGTTGGTAGAAAGCAGCGTGAAACCCATCTGGCCCGGGTGCCTGAAAAGGCTTCATCTCGAAAAAAGCTTGGTGGATGTCCATGATGGTGAAAGGCCTCAGCAGAGCAAGGAGGTCCTCCTGAGCAAGCCGGGGGAAAGCATTCTTTGGCATCCTATCCTCATAATCCGAGTTATCCTTCAAAGAGAGGTTAGTATAAAACTCGAACACCATATCCGCCAGCTCCTGGGGGTCATCAATCCACACGCCTGCTTGGCCCGAAGGGCGGTGATCTTGTTCTTACGTCTCCTGATATTGGCTTGCTGGTGAAAATAACTGGTATTGCGCTCCCCAAACTTAACCCAATGCTCCCTCGATCGTTGGTACCAGATCAGCTTCTCCTGCTCCAACAACGTATCGAGCTCGACCTCAAGCTTAGAATGGAGCTTGGCCAGACCGGGGGAAAAACTCTAAGAAAGCTGTCTTTCTACTCCTTGAATCCGCCCTAGAAGTCGTCTCTTTCTCTGCTGCACATTTCCAAAGGTATCTCTATTCCAGTCTTGCAAGGCGATACTCAAAGACTGCAAAGCGCACGGCAAGGATCTGGTAGGATCCCAAGTCCCTGCAATGGTATTCAAAAAGTCCTTGTGAGTAAGCCATGCAGCTTCAAATTTAAAACTCCTGGGGGTCATCAATCCACACGCCTGCTTGATCCCAAAGGGCGGTGATCTTGTTCTTACGTCTCCTGATATTGGATTGCTGGTGAAAATAACTGGTATTGCGCTCCCCAAACTTAACCCAATGCTCCCTCGATCGTTGGTACCAGATCAGCTCCTCCTGCTCCAACAACATATCGAGCTCGGCCTCAAGATTATAATGGAGCTTGGCCAGACCGGGGGAAAAAATCTGAGAAAGATGTCTTTCTACTCCTTGAATCCGCCCTAGAAGTCGTCTCTTTCTCTGCTGCACATTTCCAAAGGTATCCCTGTTCCAGTCTTGCAGGGCGATACTCAAAGACTGCAAAGCGCACGGCAAGGATCTGGTAGGATCCCAAGTCCCTACAATGGTATTCAAAAAGTTCTTGTGAGTAAGCCGTGCAACTTCAAATTTAAAAGAGCGAGGAGGGTGAAGAGATTGCCCCTGGAAAGCAAAAGAGGTAAGGATGGGATTATGATCAGAATTGAGTCGAGGCAGATGGCGGACAAAAGTATTTGGAAAGACCGAGTTCCAGGGGATATTGCATAAGCTCCTGTCAATCCTGCTGGCCTTGTAGGTATCAGAGTTCTCCCCCTAGTCCACGTAAAATTTGGACCGGAGTAACCGAGATCTACCAGGTCAGCTCCATTGATCCTGTCGTTGAAAATGCGACATCTTCGGAGGGTCGCCGTCAAGGCAGCCCCTGACTTCTCAGATGGGGATCTGATGGCGTTTAAATCCTCAGTAAGGATCCAGGGTACGCTGATCCCTTTGCTCTGAGCTGTGAGATGGTCCCAAAGAGGTTGCTGTTGGTTGAGACGATGAGAGGCATACACCGCAGTCAGGATCCAGTCGGTCATGTGGCTCTGGGAAATGCGGATGGTGACGTGCTGCGAACAAGCCGAGATGATTTGAGTATTGTACCGCCGAGCGTCCCAAAATACCCAAATGCCACCTTGCCGTCCTTCTGCTTCAACCCGAATCACATCCGGAAAGCCCAATTTATCGCACACCGCATTCGCCGCATTACCACTAACCTGCGGTTCAAGAAGAATCACAAAATCAGGCTTGTACGATTGAATGACAAGCTTGAGAGCACGAGAGAAGCGCTTGCTCCCAGCTCCACCCACATTCCACGCAAGGATATTAACATTATTCGAATTTAACATAGACATAGGACAAGATAGAAAAACAAAAAGAGGTAGGAAGGAAAAAAGGAGCAACATCACCGGGGGAGGATTAGTTTTGGAGAACGGCAGTAACGATCGCGTCCTCGGCTGGAGCTCGCTGCTTAGGTAGCTTAGACGTATCCTTGTCATGGTCTGGCTTCCGATCGGCCTTCTCCGCCGCGGCACAGGTCCAGGCGTTGATCTCCTCGAGAGTGAGTGACGACAGCCGAGCCTTGGATTTGTTCTTCCTGTCTTTCACAGGAGACCAAATTTCCAGGGCCTTGGATGCCTGGAGCTTCACCGGAGTTCCTTTCTTTGATTGCTGCCGGGACCCCTTCTTCTTTTTCATCCGCTCACCCGCCGAGGGAGAGCTCGCCTCCACTTGTCTGGTTCGCTTTAGAGAGGAAGGTACCGCCACGATTTGCATTCTTGTGTCGTTCGGCCCAACAAATGATTTGACCAGATGAGAGGCAGAGGAGCTTGAAGCTTGGCCCGCTGAGGAAGTCAAGCCCATAAGCGGAGATGGGCTTAGGCATCTGAAAGTCTCATTGTCAACATTCCCTGTCCTATCCGGTTGACCAGAATTTGAGGGGTGGTAGGTCTCGGATGTGGGCCTAAGCCCATTGCCCCTGTTAGGAATTTTAGATGGGCCCGAGCCCAAGACCCCTTTGGCCGACTCCCTTTGATCCGCCATTGGTTCCTTTCCCTTGTTACCAACTTTGGCCGCAGACGACGCATCCACATCCCCTTTCCGATTTTGGTTCCCTTTCCTTTCCTGATTAGCTGATCCTTGATTTGTCCCCAGCTTTGACGCCATAGACGTCGTCCCAAGATCCTCCTTTTCTTTCTCTGTTGATTTGATCCCGCCTTTCCCGTTTTTATTAATCGGCCCTTGCGACCCGTTCCCCAAATCATTCTCTGTCTTTCCTTTCTTGGTGTGATCCCTTGAATTGCGGTGGCTTCTTTTGGAAATAAGCACCCACGGCCCAAATCCCGGGTTCATCTCCTCCGCAACGGTCCCTGAGGTGCCCAAAATCTGCTCGCCGGCGGGTAGTAACTGCTCCGATGGGGCCGCCGGTCGGCGTTTGAGCAGCACTCGGCGTTGTGGCCCACCTTCCCGCACTCGAAGCAGACGATCGGGAGGTTCTCGTACACCACTTTTTTCCAGTGATCGTCCAGGTAGATCCGAGGAACCAAAGCTTTTGTCATGTCGATCTCCACCGCCAAGCGAGCAAATTTCCTGCGCTGCCGATTCATCGTATGAAAATCCAATTTAATTGTGCGTCCGATAAGATTCCCCAGAGAGGTTAGAACCTCTTGATGGTAAAAATGGACCTTGAGGGCCGGTAATTGAATCCACACGATCATAGTTTTTGGCAGAGGATCCTGTATCCCAAAACTTGGCGTCCATTGCTGCACCGCGAGATAATGATCATAGATCACCCATGGTCCATCCGTGAGAGCTTTGAAGTAGTCTTGCTCGTTGGATAATTGAACCAAATAAGTGGCATCATCCAAATCCATAATCTCCATCGCCCCTATAGGTCGCCAGAGCCCCCAAAGTCGTGAGCAGAACGCGGTGAAACTAATGCGGAGACCCAGCAGGCGCACTACCAACGTTTTCTGCCACGGAGCGCATAAACGATCTTTGAAAGCAGCAGAGATACTCAAGGCCGGCTCTCCATTGATCTGCCCAAGAACCAAATCGTTCTCCCCAACCGGAGTCCATTTTTGAACAGCCAGCGTCCCTTGTTGCTCACCCCTGGCCAGCGCCCGAGCGTACGAGATTGGTCGCTGTGTGGCTACGTTAGGGACAGAGCAGTCGTCTTTCGGGGGATTAGACTCCACCACCAATGGCGACGAATCCGATGTCAAGTGTGTCGTTGTTGGCCCGTCTGTCGCCATCAGAGTTGTGGTCGCAGTTCCGGTGTCCGACGGCCGCCCTGGAGGGGTCAGTGCCTGAGCCATTGGAGAGGTTTCCATCACAACTATAATCGAGATGCTACATAAAGAATGAATATATAGGTCAAACATTCAGGGAAATACCCTCATTTAAGAATATAAAAAATGTATCATTAATTCCATTTTCATAATGATAATTGAGCCCCCATTAAAATGATATTGGTTAATAAATTGTCCAGAAATATATAATATAAAAGCTCATTGGAATTCCCACACGATCCATAGATAGTTTGAAACTGAAATGAAACCTCACAATCCCACATAAATGGTTCAAATCTCTCCTCTATGAATAACATGTCACTAATAAAAAAGAAATGGGTTTATAAATTATTAAAAAAAAAACAAAAATGAAGAGTTGTTGATTCAAGTAAATCGTATGCTAACAACTCAACTAAAAGGAGACCATCAAAACTTGAGAGCAAATGACAAAATTATAGTTACATCCAATATACTAATAGAGTCGATCAAAGTAATGAGGCACAAAATTAGACACTCCTTTTCTACAGGTTCCAGTAGTTTGAATAGTGAATCGACCTTAACTTTAGTAAATCAATCAATGATTCCTCGTTTTAACATAAACATTGGTTGTGGTAGTTGCAACAACCATAACACCTAAAGATCCAATAGTTTCCACTTTCCGTTGACAACCAACTTTTTATCCCCTCCATCTTCAATCTCTCGACGTATATATTTTAAACTAAAATTCAATTTCGAACCCTCCTTCTGCAACTCCATTTATGCTACTTTGATGGACCTTCTCTCCATGAACCTGACTTTCTCTTTCAATTGAGTTTCTTGTCAACTTGATCTCCAACTCCTCAATCCTCTTTCTTGTATTTGGCCAACTCATCTTCCTCGGGGCACTTTTAATAAGCTCATAAAACCAACACTCATCTTCAATTCAATCAATATGCTCTTCTCCTCCTTCTGCCTTCACCTGATCTAGTTCACTTCCATGCCCTTCAATACCCTCTCCATTTTCAATAATATCCTAATTATCTACCACTTCTCTCTCTTCAACTGCTTTGATTTTGCTTCTATGTCTTTCAATACCCTCTTTATTCAATCACTACCCTGACCAACCGCCTCTTCACTGCCTTCACTTGCTGCAAACTACTTCCATGACTTTTTATACACCTCCCTCAAAATCACAATCAACTAACCAATATCAATCCATGGCATTGGATCAGTTTTAAACTCTCTATGAACATCTCAATACCACAAAGTCTAAATCTAAATATTCTTTCAGTTAATCATGAACTTGAGTCTATCAAAATCTAATTCACTCATTCTAAGTTGGAATTCCCATCCCCCAAGCACATTTTTGGTTCATTTGATCCCACATAACTAGGCCTGTTAGCGGTGCGGTTTCGATTTTAACCGAACCGCAACTGCGGTTAACCGCAGCCGAAGACGCCACTGAAACGTCAACCGCAGCCGAAGGGAGGTGCGGTTAACCGCAAACCGCAACCGACGGTTTCGGTTTGTTTGCACGGTCAATCGAGACCGATGGCCGTCGCGATCTCCACCCTGCTCACCGCCGTTTCTTTTTCCTCCACTTCCACCCCTTCCATACAGAACGCCGTCTCTTCCCTCTACCGAATCACCCTCCTCCTCCCACAAGAAACGCCTCTTCTTATCCGTCACTGATAGTGACCAAACCATTGAGGGGAACCAGAGGACTCACATAGGAAAGGGGCGCGCGACGGACGATGGATTGAGGGTCGACGTCGTGAATCGCAGGACTGGGGGCGACGAAGAACGGCAGGACGGACGAAGGCTGGGGCGGAGCGACGCTGATGCGAGGTGACTGACGATGGCGGCGACAACGATTACGACAGGCCGACGGCTGCAATGGGGACGCCGGGGTAGGGCGATGACGACGTCTACAGCGTGGACGCCGCGCCGGAGAGGGGAGGTCAGGGAACAAGGGAATGGGAGGGTAGCGGCGGGGCAGGGTGAGAGACTTTCTCCCGCTGGAATTGGTATCGTGAATTAGGGTTGCGGGAGGATTCGATGGACTGGGACGCCTTGGCGAGGACGACGACAGGCGGCCGGGAGGGCTGGGGTTTGTTGGGGAGGAAATCGGAGGAGGTGGTGGATTGGCGGGCGGAGAAATTTTTTGGGAGGTCGAATTTAGGGTTCCCCTTTCAGTTCTACTCTGTAATCGCGACAAGAGGGAGACCTAGGCGAGGGCACGACGCGGTTTGGCCAGGTGAAGTGGGATTCGCGGTTAGGGCGGTTAACCGCGCGCGGTTTCGGTTATGACCGCCAAACGAATTTTTCCTCCTTCGCCAGGAATTGACCAACCTCAATCGCATTAATATTTTGGTTTTCGGTTAACTATAAAACCGACATTTTTTGTTCGGTTTTCGGTCCAACCGAGTAACCTCTGACCGATTAACAACCCTACACATAACCATGGTATTATACCTCTAACTAAAATAAATCAAAGCATTTTACGAAAAGAAACCAAGCCATGAACTTTACCTGCTACCAAATCCAAACACAATCTCTTCCTCTCACCACTTCCCTTCCCAAATCCAATATCAACTTTTACTCCAAGTTCACACCCCCAACTCCAGTGTGTTGCGTGAAAGCTTAATTTTAGCAATCATTATGCTTTAATTAGATTAATGGACACTAGCAAGTAGGGGTGGGCAAACGGTTCGGTAAACCCGAACCGTACCGAATTAAACTGAACCGAAACCGAATTAATGCTATTCGGTTCGGAATTCGGAAGGAAAATATGGAGAGTTCGGAAATCAAAGCTCTTTCAACCGAACCGAATTTCCGACCGAAAAATCGAAATACTATAATTGCAAGTTCCAAATGATGGATTTTTATGTTTGTAGTTGTTTTTAGACTTAAATATTTGAAATGTTTTAAGACTTATGTGTTGAAAATTTTGGTTTTATCATTGATGATGCATATAATTGATATTTATTGTTTATATTATGGGTGAAAAATAATTTAAAAGTGAGAAAATACAAGTACCTTCACAAATTTGGTTTTGTGTGAAAAACCAAACCGAACCAAATTATAATTCGATTTAAACCGACCGAACCGAATTATAATTCGATTCGAATTCGGTTTGAGGTTTGGGAGAATTCGGGAACCCGGTATTCGTAATTTCGGTTCGGTCCAAACCGAACCGACCGAATGCCCACTGACACGCCAAAACACAACACCAATCTGCGACCAAGTGTAATCGCAGACCGGGAATGCAGTAAAGTGACAAGTAATATTATCAACCCGGGGTCTAGATCTACTGCTTACTCAGTGATTATCTATTATCTAGCCAACTAAAGTAAGTGATTGTTGTTTAAAAGCAAAAGCAAAAAGAAAGCAGGAATTGATACGGTTTTCTCAAGCAGGTAAGAGTCACTCGGGAATGAGTCCCCCTAGCTCCTTAGTTAGGTTTCAATTGCATTTTCCTGGGTTGATTTACTGTAGATTAGACTGCGGAAGATCCGGCAGTAGCTTGGAATCTCTTAAGCTGACCAAGCCCTCTCAGTCTATCTACCCGGCAGACGACTAGTCTTCACCGGGATAGAAAGCTGAAGCAGTAAGAACAGAACTTCACTACTGGAATTGGATTCCAGTACAAAGCAGTCAACTGCTAACTCTCATATAGCCAATCTCCTACTATCGAATGATGAGACTCTAGCAATCTAATCAGATTCTATCTATCTCAGATTGCAGCAGGAATCAGGAAAAGTTTATCAGACTTCAATGGACTCAATAAACATGCATCATTCGATTAAAATCAAACAGTAATATCATCCCAAGTCATTACAATCAATCCCTAACACATAGAACTAGGGTTCTTCATCCCCAAGTGAGAGAGGGGTT